CCCCCCCCATTCAATTGTTCCCGGCCTTATGCTTTGAGTCCCAGGACCGACCGTTTTAAAAACACACTGGGTGCGTGTGCTCAGTCTCAGAAGAACAGAGGAGAAGGATTGTGGCACGCCTATCACCCCACGAGGTGAATTTTCATTTTCTCTCTCCATCTCTGTCTGAGAGTACACACACCCTACATCAAAAACTAATAAAATTAAATTGAACATCATAATTGAGAAGTTTCACTGTTCTGTTCACTACATATTTTGATGTTATGTGTTTCAATATGGGAATTTTTTTTTTCTTCGGATTTTTTTTTTTTTTCGGGAGTGAGGTTATCACTATAGTGGACGTGCGCCCACCACAAAGACAGAAACAGAGACCGAAAGCGGAAATCACCCCCAGGAGGGAAGGCCATGCCGTAATCTCTTTTTTCTCTATTCTCCTCCTGGGATCTTTGTCATGCACGCACACACACCCAGCATGTGTTAAGCCACCGGGAACAGGACTTGAACTGTAGTCGCCTACGTGGGAGTCCAACGACATAGCCATTACGCCAACTGCTGGTCCTGGGCAATTAATTTTTAAAGAAAAATAACTCTAGCTTTATTTATTTATTTTAATTTGACCAGAGAGGGACAGAGAGAAAGTGAGAAAGCAAGCTGCCACATCTGGGACTCAAACTGCAGTTGGCCATGTGGGAGCACAGTGCCTTTACCCACTATACCACATGCGTGTCCCTGGAAATCAATTTATTGTCTCTAATCAGAAACCTGTGGTTCTTACATCCTGCAGATGCCTTTCAGAAATTACCAGCCAAAGGCTTTCGTCCTTCAGGAGAAGTATTGCCAACAGTGATGGTGGAGGGACATGAAAGCCATGGGACCGAAGAGTTTCCCTTCATGCAAGTCCAGAAAAACACACATGCCCCTGCCTGTGAGTGGAGAGAAGAAGAAAACCCACACCAAGCAGATCCTATGACCCGTGAGGAAGAGCAGACTGGGAGAGTTGTTGGTCCCAAAAGAAGGGGTGTAAGAAACAGGCCTGTTCCTAGTGACCTTGACTTCAGCTTGCAGTCACATCCACCAGCGGTGCAGGAACTTAAAGGTAGTAGGGGACCGTATGAACAGAAGGGAGTTGAGAACTCTGATAAGCAAAGTCCTGTAGTTTCACCACTCCAGACAATTGTTCCCAGTGTCAAAGCCGTCACTGATCGTGAAGATGGGCGTAATTTTATAGACTGTTCATTACTCACCCAAGATCAGAGAGCAGGCAGGAGGAAGAAATCTTTCCAGGGTAATCGGTCTGGCAAAGCTTTTAGTGAACACTCACACCGTGCTCTAAGTCAGAAAATCCATACAAAAGAAGAACTATATAAATGTGATGTTTGTGGAAAGGTCTTTAAACAAGAATCAAACCTTGCACGTCATTGTAGAATTCATTCTAGGGAGAAACGTGCCCAGTGTAAAATGTGTGGTAAAGCCTTTAAAAGTAGCTCAAAGCTCATTATACATGAAAGGATCCATAGCAGAGGAAAACAATATAAATGTGATGTGTGTGGCAAGGTGTATACTCAGAGTTCAAACCTTGCAAGTCATCGTAGAATTCACACTGGAGAGAAACCTTACAAATGCAGTGAATGTGGTAAAGCTTTTACACAAAGATCGATACTTAGAGAACATGTGAAAATTCATACTGGCGAAAAGCCCTATGAATGTAATGAGTGTGGCAAAGTCTTCCGTCAGTCTTCAACCCTTGTTGGTCATCAGAGAATTCACACTGGAGAGAAACCTTACAAGTGTAATGAATGTGGCAAGGTCTTTAGCACCAGTTCACACCTTGCAGTGCATCGTAGATTTCATAGTGGAGAGAAACCTCACAAGTGTAGTGAATGTGGCAGAGCCTTTTCTGACCGCAGAAACCTTATTAACCATCAGAGAATCCATACTGGAGAGAAACCTTTCAAATGTAATGAATCAAAGTCTTTCGTTTGTCTTCAAACCTTACTGTTCATCGGAATATTCATATTGGAAAGAAAACATACAAATGTAACGAATGTGGCAAGGTCTTTGGTCGCAGTTCACACCTCAAGGGCCATGTGCGTATTCACACTGGAGAGAAACCTTACAAGTGCCATGAGTGTGGGAAAGCCTTTAGGGTGTCCTACAGCCTGACTAACCATCTAGCGATTCACACGGGAGAGAAACCTCACCGATGTAACGAGTGTGGCAAGTTCTTCAGGCACCCTGTAGACCTTGCTCGTCACGGCAGAATTCACACTGGAGAGAAACCGTTCAAGTGTAAGGAATGTGGGAAAGGCTTCCGTCATTCTTCTGGCCTTGCAACTCACCGGAGAGTTCACACTGGAGAGAAGCCTTACAAATGTGATGAATGTGGCAAGTCACTGGGGAGCAGCACTAAACTTAAACTTCATCGAAAAATTCATACTGGAGACAAACCTTACAAATGTAGCGAGTGTGGCAAAGCATGCATTGTGCGATCAGCTCTTATTAAGCATCAGAGAATGCATACTGGAGAGAGGCCTTACAGCTGTAGCAGATGTGGTAAAGCCTTCACTCAGCAGTCTATCCTAACTGATCATTGGAAGATTCACACTGGGGAGAGACCTTACGGGTGTTCTGAGTGCAGCAAAGCCTTCCGTTCCCGATCACATCTTGAACGACATGAGAGAACTCATGCTACAGCGAAACCTTGCAAAGGTAACTAATGTGACCACATCTGCAGTGATCACACCTCACAAGAGGTTGGGGAAAGTTCAATTAGTGTGCTTTCAATCTTCACAGGGCATCAGGCAATTTGTACTGATAAGAAACCTTCCACAGCTAATAAGTGTGGCAAATTTTTCAAATGGTTTTACACCTCTCCAGACATTAGATAGTTCATACTGGATAGAAACCACAAAAAATATAATGAATATAAAAAGGTTTTCTGTTTAAATTACTCCTTTTTAATAATTTTGTAAAAGAATTATTGGAAAAAAAGGTAAATAATTCTTAAAAAAAGGTTTAATTCAGAATATATCATATAGTTTACAAGTTAATAAAATTTTGTATATTTTCTTTTAAAATATTATTTAATTTCATGCATTATTGTTTTTTCTATTTGCTCAGAGATAGGAAAAGTGAAGAAGAAAGCTGCCGGGTCCGGGTCTCAAACCACAGTTGGTCATATGGCAGTCTAGCACGTCAACCACTATGTCACCTACCGGCTCCCAAAATTTAATATATTAATGATGAATAAATCATGTTCTTTTTTGTTGTCGTTAAAATTATTTTGTTTAACTCTAATTCTTTATTTAAACTTGACTAGAGAGGGACAGTACGAGAGTGAAAGGGAAAGTGAGAAAGCAAGCTGCCATGTCTGGGACTCGAGCCACGGCCAGCCATGTGGCGGAGTCCAGCACCCTTAACCACCCCATCACTTGTCAGTCCCTGAATCATGTTCTTTTTCCAACTTAATTTTATTCATCCCTATATTTGTTCATGACTGCCACTTAACATTGACCATTGGTGGACCAGCCGGTAGCGGAATGTAGTCAACCCCAGTTTGAGTCTTGAACCTGGTGGCTTAAACTCATGCCATGTGCGTGTGCGTGCCCAAGATCCTAAGAGGAGAATGGAAGAGAAGTGATTGTGGCATGGCCATCCCCCCTGGGGGGAGTGGTGGTCATTTCTTGCTTTCCGTTTCCCTCTGTCTTTCTGGGAGCATACACGCCCTATAACAAAAACCTCTTCCCCCCTCAAAAAAAAAAAATACATTTACCATGAAATCCCTAAAGTTGAAAGATAGGTAACAAGTTTTTTCAAGGTGGAATAAACAAAAAAAACAGTTTTTATACATGTACTCATCTCTTGCAGTTGAGGTATAAATTATTTTTTCCCTTCCATCTTCTCAGGGATTATGATAGGGAATTTTTTAGTAGATTACTTTCAAATCCTAACACCCTAAAACCTGCATCCCTGTAAAACCTGCGGCATGTCATATTTTTACATGCCTTTGCAAGTGTGCCAAATAAGCCATAAAGTGCAAGTCCAAGGGTAATAAGAGTGTAAAAGGGTGGTGAGAGGCTGTCCCACGACCTAGTGGACAGGAGAGCTGCTTCACAAGTGCTGACTGCCGGGTGTAAGTCCCCGTCCTGGCATTCCGAGGTGAGTGCTGTGGGTTCGTGCCCAGTGTCCTGACAAGGTGGAGACACAACAGGATTTGTGGCGTGATTATGCCCCACTGAGGTGCTCTTTATCTCTGTCTGAATCTGTCTTTTGTTGGGCAAAAGCATGCACCCTGTGGTGGTAGTTTGTTTTTTTCTTAATTACTGAAACTATTCTTGAAATGAATATATAAAAATCCATGGTGAGTCCATCAGGTGAAACTGAGATTACGGTGGAGAGATTACTTTATGCGTGGTTTAAATTCCAGACCCAGCAGCTTCAAAAGCCGGGTACTGGGACCAGCAGTTGGCGTAATGGCTGTCCCTGGACTCCCATGTAGTCGACTGTGGTTCACGTCCTGGACCCGGTGGCTTAGACTCACGTGAGGTGTGTGTGCGTGCGTGCCCAGGATCCCAAGAGGAGAACGGAGGAGAAGGGATTGTGGCATGGCCATCCCTCCTGGGGGGTGATTTCTGGCTTTCTGTCTCTCTCTCTGTGTCTTGTGAGCGCACGTGCCCTATTGCAAAAACTGCTTCAAAAAAATTTTTAAAAAGCTGGTTACCTGTGTGTTCTCAAAATCTCAAGGGGAGGAATCAGAAGGGAAAGCCCAGTGGCCCTAACCCAGGGGAGTAATTTCTAACCTTATCTCTCTTCCTTTTTCCCTTGGTGAGTACATGTGCACTACAGTTAAGAAAAAGAAACTGAAGCCAAATTGTGGCATGGTGACTCTGGCACTGGACTCCCACAGAGTTGGTTGACCGCAGTTCAAGTCTCAGACCTGGTGGCTTCCTTTGTCCCTCTGGTCAAATTGAAGAATAATTCTTTTTTTAAAAAAAAATAGAAACTCTGGGACCAGCAGTTAGCATAATGTCTTTGTCACTGGACTCCCACGTAGTCGACCATGGTTTGCATCCTTGACCCGGTGGCTTAAAACTCACACCGGGCGCGTGTGCATGCGTGCCCAAGATCTCGAGAGGAGAATGGAGGAGGAGGGATTGCGGCATGGCCATCCCTCCTGGGGGGGTGATTTCTTGCTTTCTGTCTCTATGTCTCACTCCATCTGTCTGGCGAGTGCACGCGCCTATAGGTAAAACCTCTACAGAAAGAACAATAGAAACTCATTGTGCAGGTCAGCCGGTGGCATGCTGGTTAGGGACGGGATCCCACAAGGCAAACTTTGTGGTTTAAGTCCAGGGTGTCAGGGCTTGAAAAACACCAGGCACACATGTGCATGCTCACATCCAGGAGGAGAATGGAAGAAGAGGGATTGCAGCATGGCCATCCCCATCCCCCATATGAGGTGCTTCGTCATTGTTTCTTGCTGGGGAGCATACATGCCTTCTAGGATAAACAAAAACAACCGCATGTTTTATTGCTTTGCTTTATTAGTGGTAGAGTGCCTGCATATAAGGGAGAGAGAGGTAACCTGCATGGGGTCTGGTCACACTGAAACACCCTCCCTCCCGTCCTCAGCCCGTGGGACCCTGGGCATTTTTATTACATTCCTGTCATGTTTCAGCCCTATTGCAAAAACTGCTTCAAAAAAATTTTTAAAAAGCTGGTTACCTGTGTGTTCTCAAAATCTCAAGGGGAGGAATCAGAAGGGAAAGCCCAGTGGCCCTAACCCAGGGGAGTAATTTCTAACCTTATCTCTCTTCCTTTTTCCCTTGGTGAGTACATGTGCACTACAGTTAAGAAAAAGAAACTGAAGCCAAATTGTGGCATGGTGACTCTGGCACTGGACTCCCACAGAGTTGGTTGACCGCAGTTCAAGTCTCAGACCTGGTGGCTTCCTTTGTCCCTCTGGTCAAATTGAAGAATAATTCTTTTTTTAAAAAAAAATAGAAACTCTGGGACCAGCAGTTAGCATAATGTCTTTGTCACTGGACTCCCACGTAGTCGACCATGGTTTGCATCCTTGACCCGGTGGCTTAAAACTCACACCGGGCGCGTGTGCATGCGTGCCCAAGATCTCGAGAGGAGAATGGAGGAGGAGGGATTGCGGCATGGCCATCCCTCCTGGGGGGGTGATTTCTTGCTTTCTGTCTCTATGTCTCACTCCATCTGTCTGGCGAGTGCACGCGCCTATAGGTAAAACCTCTACAGAAAGAACAATAGAAACTCATTGTGCAGGTCAGCCGGTGGCATGCTGGTTAGGGACGGGATCCCACAAGGCAAACTTTGTGGTTTAAGTCCAGGGTGTCAGGGCTTGAAAAACACCAGGCACACATGTGCATGCTCACATCCAGGAGGAGAATGGAAGAAGAGGGATTGCAGCATGGCCATCCCCATCCCCCATATGAGGTGCTTCGTCATTGTTTCTTGCTGGGGAGCATACATGCCTTCTAGGATAAACAAAAACAACCGCATGTTTTATTGCTTTGCTTTATTAGTGGTAGAGTGCCTGCATATAAGGGAGAGAGAGGTAACCTGCATGGGGTCTGGTCACACTGAAACACCCTCCCTCCCGTCCTCAGCCCGTGGGACCCTGGGCATTTTTATTACATTCCTGTCATGTTTCAGGCTAATGAAACTCAGTTTGAACTGCCATTTTCATGTAGCAGCCATTATTTTTTCGACCAAGTACCACCATGCCACAAATCTGACCATTTTTTCTTTTTAATTACTGTCCGAGGGTGCACGTATTGGCCCCAGGGCAATGAAGTGAGCACCCATCAAAGCAGTGTTGTCACATGCAGTCGGTCTGTTTCTCCATCCTGCCCTGGTTTTGGACATGTGTGCACACCTGGTGTGATTTTCAAGTAGCCGGGGCTGGACCCAGAACTACAGTAAGCCAGGTGAGGTCCAGCTCCCTTAGCCATTTGTCACCTCGAGGTGTCAAGGCCTGTTGTAGTTTCTGTCACATGGTCCTGATGGTTTTACAACTGCTAATGTTTTCTATTGGTAACCAAAGGATGTGTGATGCTCTGGATATTTTCCCATGATCTGCAGGAAATTGGAAAAAGTATGTGCTTTTAATAGAAGTCCAGGTTTTTGTCATGGACACAGGTACTCAGATCTGTGACTGGAGATTGCAGCCCCCATCTACAACTAATAACCTCTCGTGTGTGACAGGTACACAGGTTGCTCATCCTTAACGAGTACTCAGGGCCCTTAAATGCTATGGAAAGGCTGAAGTATGACACACCATAGTTTGTTACTAGGTAATATTTTCACATGTTCCAAGGCCAGCAGGTTGCATGGAGTTTAAGGTACTGGATCCCATACGGCCAAGTGTGTGGTTCAAGTCCCAGAAATAGTAGGTTAAAACCACGCTGTGTGTGTATGTGTGTGTTCTCAAAACCTGGGAAGGGGAATGGAAAAAGGATTGTTATGTGGCCATCTGCCTTCTGGGTTTATTTTTTTTCCTCTGTCTTCCCTTGCCCCATCTCCCTCCCTGTTTCTCTCCAGTGTGTGCATGTAGCCTATAGCAAAAACTAAAACTAGAAACGAAAACAAACCAGTATGTACAGAGTTGTTACCTTTTTTTTTTTTAAAGAGAGGTTTTTGCTATAGGGCACGTGCGCTCACCAGACAGACAGAGACAGAGAGATAGAAAGCGAGAAATCACCCCCCAGGGGGGATGGTCATGCTGCAATCCCTTCTCCTCCATTCTCCTCTCGGGATCTTGGGCACGCACGCACACACGCGCCCGGCGTGAGTTCTCAGCCACTGGGTCCAGGACTCGAACCGCGGTTGACAATGTGGGCGGCCAGCGCCATAGCCATTATGCTAACTGCTGGTCCCCAGTTGTTACCTTTTTTAAAAAAGAATAATTATTTTGTTTAACTTTCATTCTTTTTATCAGAGAGTGACATAGTGAGAAAGAAGGAAAGTGAGATAGCAAGCCACCAGGTCTGGGACTTGAACCTCAGTTGGCCATTTGGGAGTTTAGCTCCCTTAACAACTACACCATCTGTCTGCTCCATTTATTTATTTCTATTCTTTTATTTTTGGGGGAGTTTTTTTTTTCTATAGGGCATGTGCGCTCTCCAGAAAGCGAGAGAGAACCAGAGAGACAGAAAGCAAGAAATCACCACCCAGGGTGGATGGCCACATCACCATCCCTTCTCCTCCATTCTCCTCACGAGATTGTGGACTTGAACGTACATGCACCTGGCATGAGTTTAAGCCACCAGTTCTAGGACTCAAACTGGTTGACTACATGGGAGTCCAGTGTCATAGCCATTACGCCAACTGCTGGTCCGTATTTATTTTTTTGATGACAGAAAGTGAAGGCAAGAAGAGAGCTAATGCACCATCCCAGTATAGGATATTCACTCTCCAATCCCATGTTCTTTATTGCTCCCTGTCCTGTTTTTTTAGTTTTCTGGGTATGGCCCACAGTACCTTGGCCTGTTTTTCAAGGGACTGGGATCACTATTTAAATTACGGTTTGCCCCATAGGATCGGCTTAACCTCTTCACCGAGGGTCCACCCTACCTCCCCTACCTATTGGAAGTCCAGTGAACTGGGGACCAGCAGGTGGCATGATGGTTAAGGTACTGGACACTCCCACATGGCCAACCACGGTTTGAGTAATTCTTTAAGAAAAAAAATAGTCCAATGTGCTATCCATTGTGCTCATTGACCTTACACCACAAGCCTTATTCCTTCAGCTCAGGACCCCAGGGACTGGCCCTTTGAAAAATGTCTGCATCTGGGAGCCAGTGGGTGGTGTGGTAAGGCACTGGATTCTTACATGGCTGACTAGATTCAAGTCCTAAAGCTGATGGTTTGTTTACTCAATTTTCCTTTCTTTCTCGGATTACTTCTTTTTGTTTGTTTGTTTGTTTATTCATTTATTTTATTTTGACCAGAGAGAAACACAGAAAAACTTAGAGAAATTGAGAAATCAAGCCATGAGGTCCAGGACTCGAACTGCGGTCAGCCATGTGGGAGTATCCGGCACCTTAACCATTAAGCTACATTCTGGTCCCCAACCTGATTAATTTTTTAAAAATAATGGTGACCATCAGCACATGGCATAATGATTATATTACTGGATTCCCACATGACTGACCAGGTTTGAGTCCTGGACTTGGAGACTTGAAACTCATGCCAGGCATGTGTGTGTGTATGCTCAAAGCCCAGAGAGGAGACTGGAGGATAAGGGATCACAGCATGGCCATTGCCTGGGAGGTTATTTTTTACTTGTTGTCTGTCTCTGGTGAGCACACAACACCCTACAGCCAAAATCTCTGCAAAACAAAATCATTTTGGGGGCCAGCAGATGGCGTCATGGTTGCATGACTGGACCTCCACTTAGTCGACTGCAGTTTGAGTCCCAGGCCTGGTAACTTAAAACTCACAGCAGTCACATGTGCATGCATGGCCAAGATCCCGAGAATGAAGAAGACTGGCCTGTCCATCCCCCGGGGGAGGTGAATTCTCATTTTCTCTCTCTCTGCACGTGCACACGCCATACAGCAAGAATCTCTCAAAAACAAATGGCTTTTAAAAGAATTGTTTATTTGAGAGGTTTTGGCTATAGGACGCATGCACGCACCAGAAAGCAAGAAACCACCCCCAGGGGGGATGGCCAACCTGCAATCCCTTCTCCACCATTCTACTCTCAGGATCCTGGGCACGCATGCACACATGCCTGGTGTGAGTTTGAGCCACGGGAGTCCAGTGCAGTAGCCATTATGCAATCTGATGACCCTATGAATTATTTAATTCCATTTGTTATTTTAAAATTTAACCAGAGGGAACCAGCAGTGAGCGGATTGGCTATGTCGCTGGACTCCCACGTAGTCGACCACGGTTCGCTTCGCAGACCCAGTGGCTTAAAACTCACGCCGGGCACGTGTGTATGTGTGCCCAAGATCCTGAGAGGAGAATCGAGAAGGGATTGCGGCGTGGCCATCCCCCATGGGGGGTGATTTCTCGCTTTCTATCTCTCTGTCTCTGTCTGGCGAGTGCATGTGCCCTATAGCAAAAACCTCTCAAAAAAAAAAAAAAAATTAACCAGAAAGAGAGAAAAAAATGAAAGCAAGAAAGAAACCTCCCTGGTCCAAGACTTGAACCACTGCTGACCATATGGGAAACTAGTACCCCAACCACCACACTACCTACCAGCCCCCCAAAAAAATCTTTTATAAAAAGCAATTAAATAGGAACCAGCAGGTGGTATGGTGGTTAAAGTGCTGGACACTCCCACATGGCCAACCATGGTTCAAGTTCTGGGCCTAGTGGCTTTCTCTCTGTCTCTCTTTGGTTAAATTTAAATAAATAAATATAAATTAAAAATAAATAATTCTTTCTTTTTTTTTTGGAGAGGTTTTTGCTACAGGGCGCATGCGCCCTTCTCCATTCTCCTCTCGGCATCTTGGACATGCACGCACACGTGCTTGGCATTATTTTAAGCCACCGGGTCCAGGACTCGAACCACAGTTGACTACATGGGAGTCCAGTGACACAGCCATTACACCAAGTGCTGGTCCTTCCATGTTTTTTTAAATACAGATTTTTACTATAGGGCACGTACACTTTCTGCAGAGATAGAAACAGAGGCAGAAAGAGGGAAATCACCCCTCAGAGATATGGCCATGTGCAATCCTTCTCCACTCTCCTGTTGGGTTCTCAGGCATGCAGACATACACCTGGCGTGAATTTAAAGTCACTGGATCCAGTACTGGAATCGTGGACAACTATGGGAGCCCAGCAATGTAACTATTACATCGTCTGCTCATTCCATTTCAAAGGATTTTTTAGAAAAGAACTGGAGCCAGCAGGTAGCATAGTGGCTGGGGCCTGGACTTCATCATGGTTGACTATTATTTGAACCCTGGACCCAACAGCTTGAAACTCACGCCAGGTATGTGTGTGCATGGCCAAAATCTCTAGAGAAGAATGGGCATGGGATTGCGGCATGGCCATCCCCCCAGGGGTGTGATTTCTCACTTTCTGTCTCTCTGTCTCTGTCTGTCTGTCTGGCGAGCGCACACGCCCTATAGCAAAAATCTTCTCAAAAATAAATAAATAAGTAAATAAATAAATAAATAAAAAACAATAAAACTACACATCACTCTCTCCTTTCCTTGGCCTCCTTTGTCAAGCTGCCTGTTCACCTGACTCTCTAGAATCTTCCTCCCCACCCATCTTTCCAGATCAAGTTAACCCCATAGTATGGGACACCTCTTCTTCAGTGGCCTCTTACCATACCGCTATACTCATTAAACTCAAAGACCCTTCTGTTTTTTTCTCTTGTCCAGTTTCCAATTTCGTTATCTTTTTTAAAAAATGTTTTACTATAGGGTGCATGCATTTGCCAGAAAGAGAGACAGAAAGTGAGAAATCACCCCCCAGGGGGGATGGCCACACTGCAGTCCTGACTCCATTCTCCTCGGGATTTTGGGCAGTACCCGGTGTGAGTTTAAGCCACCAGGTCCAGGACTTGAATCGTCTAGTCCAAGACCTCCGCATAATCAATTCATCTGTAGTTCCCCTACACCTAATAGTTCCAAATCCCTACACCCTTCTGTCACATATACCTCCTTCTACCACCCATGTCTCTGTACTGGACCTCAAGGACACTTTCTCTACTATTCCCCTTCACCCTGACTCTTACTCTCTCTTCATTTTTACCTGGGAAGATCCAGACCATAGCACCTCCCAGCAGCCCACCTGGACTGTCTTGCCTCAGGGTTTTCGTGATAGTCCTCATCATTTTGGCCAAGTGCCGGCTAAGGACCTCAAGGACTGTCCCCTCCCCTCCACCCACCTATAGTTCTACAATATATAGGTGACTTGCTTATTTGTAGCCCTTTATTACGAGACTCTTGGGCTCAGGCGGCTACCCTCTTTAATTTCCTGGGCACCAGAGGGTACCGAGTTTCTCCCTCAAAGACCCAGCTGTTCAGCCCAACTGTCACATACCTAGGGCTTTCCTTGACTTGTACAACCAGGGCACTCACAACTGACCAGCTCCGGACTACCAGAACTCTTTAACTGCCTCTGACGGCTGATGCCATCCGGTCGTTCTTGGGCTTTGTAGGATTCTTCAGGCATTGGATTCCCACCTTTGCCACTCTAGCTCGCCCTCTACATCAGGCAGCCAAAGAGTCTCCCGAAAGAGATCTCTCTTCCCCAGGAACGGTTGCGTCTTTTGCTGTGTTTGCCAGACTGCTCACCTCTCCTCCCTTGACCCTGCCTAACCTGACCCTTCCATTTGTCCTCTTCATGGATGAATGTTCGGGTATGGCGCATCCACTCGGCCCCATATATTGCCCTGTTGACTACCTCTCACACCAATTAGATGCAACCCTGCCTTTGAGCCCTGGTGGCAGCAACTGCCTTGACTGAAGAGGCCCTCAAACTCCCTGTCCTTCAGCCTCTTAATGTCCTTACCACTTTCAGGACCTACTCAGTCACCGAGTTCTTCCCATTCTCTGCCCACCCTTCGTGAATCTAAGAAATTCACTTCTTTTTCATCGAAATCCTTCCATAACCCTCCACTGCCTGCCACTCTTTTCATTTACCCTGGCTTCCTCCTTGGATGGTACTCCATCTCACTCCTGCCTCGAAGTAATTGTTCTCTCCCACATGACGCAACTCGGACTTGCTGCTATTCCCATAAGAGACCCTACCCTCACTTTATTTGTAGATGACAGCTGACGACCCATACCTCAGGGCTCTCAAAAGGCGGCCTATGCAGTAGTCACCCCCGACTCCATATTGGAGGTGAATACTCTCCCACTGGGAACTACATCCCAGCGGCCCAACTTTATGCCCTCATTAGGGCTCTACAGCTGTCCAAAGACAAGAGAGTCAACATCTATACAGACTCCAAGTGTGCCTTCCTCATCGTACATAGCCATGCGGCCATATGGAAAGAACGCGGCTTCCTTACTCCTCAGGGCTCCCCTATAATAAATGCTGACCTAATATCGGATTTACTCCAGGCACTCCAACTCCCATCTGAACTGGCAATTGGACATTGCAAAGGACACCAGGCCTCAGCAGATCCAATAGCTTTGGGCAACGCAAGGGCTGCCTCCATGGCCAGACAACTGAGGGCCTCTTCGGCCAATAACCCGTCCTGTTCTTCTCTCAACACCCAAACCCTTTTCTTCACAGCAGGAACTTTTCCACATTCAACAGGACCATGGAGCCACTCGACTGGATAATGGATGACTGTCCCTCCCAGATGGCCGCTTAGCCTTGCCGGATGCCCAAGCCCACACCCTCCTCACCCAGATTCATGATTCTCTTCATCTAGGTCCGTGGCCCCTGTATCACTTCCTACAGCCCCTGTTCTATCATCCCTCCCTATGCACAATGATCTCCACCATTCATAATGCCTGCACCACCTGCGCCTCTACCAGGCCTCAGGGTGGCCTCCATCCCAAGTTCCCAACCCACCAACTCCACAGACATATTCCTTGTGAAGATTGGCAAATCGATTTCACTCATATGCCTCAACACAAACATTTTAAATGCCTCCTTACTCTCATGGACACTTTTTCAGGTTGGGTAGAGGCCTTCCCCACTACCCGGGAAACTGCTGAAACAGTCACCAACATTCTTCTTCAACGCATTATGCCTCGCTTCAGACTCCCGTCCAGCATCCAGTTGGACAACAGACCTGCATTCATCTCACAGGTGACCCAACAAATCAGCCAGGCTCTCAGCATCACCTGGAGGCTCCATAGACCTCAGTGCTCGGGTGAGGTAGAGAGAGCCAATGCCCTTCTTTCTTTTTTTTTTTTTTAAGAGGTTTTTACTATAGGGTGTGTGCGCTCCCCAGACAGAGAGACAGAAAGTGAGAAATCACCCCCCAGGGGGGATGGCCATGCCGCAATGCTTTCTCCTCCATTCTCTTCTTGGGATCTTGGGCACGCACACACATGTGCCCGGCGTGAGTTTAAGCCACCGGGTCCGGGACTTGAACCGTGGTCGACTATGTGGGAGTCCAGCGACTTAGCCATTACGCTAACTGCTGGCCCCCTTAAAACACACCTTACCAAACTCACGTTAGAACTTCAGCAGGGGTGGCCAGACCTATTCCCCATTGTCCTTACCCGGCTCAGGGCTACTCCCTAAAAGCCCACTGGCCTTAGCCCTTTCGAATTGCTTTACAGCAGGCCCTTCCTAATTAACCATCACCTGCCTGCCCAGGTACCACCTTTGGCAGATTACCTGGCCCTCCGGGCCCTTCTATGAGAGCATGCCAACAGAGCCTTACCACAGATCCCATCCACTAAAACCCCTCCAATCCTATACCCGGGAGACTCGGCACTCTGACAGGATTTCTCTCCGGGTTCTTTACAGGCTAAATGATCAGGCCTCTACACGGTTATACTCACTACCCCAACTGCAGTTAAACTGCTGGGTAAACCCTGCTGGTATCACTTTTTCAGACTGAAAAGAGCTCCCACTCCAACTGGAAATCCACCCAGCTTGGCCCCAGCAAGCTCCAACTTACGGCTCCTGGACCCCTAATTCTAGGGCCTATGCCAATTCTTTCCCACTCCTATCTGCTCCTCTCTCTTCCTTTGACAGTTGCCCTAGTCCTCTCCGTTGGCCTGGACTCAGTAGCCCCACCGGAGTGGACTCCCAGAAAACATCTATTTTTTTTTTTAAAGAATTATTTTATTTTGGGAACCAGCAGTTAGCGCAATGGCTATGTCGCTGGACTCCCCCGTAGTCGACCGCGGTTCGTGTCCCAGACCCGGTGGCTTAAAACTCACGCCGGGCGCGTGTGCGTGCGTGCCCAAGATCCCGAGAGGAGGAGAATGGAGGAGAAGGGATTGCGGCGTGACCATCCCCCCTGGGGGGTGATTTCTCGTTTTCTGCCTCTATGTCTCTCTTTGTCTGTCTGGCGAGTGCACGCGCCCTACAGTGAAAATCTCTTCAAAAAAAAAAAATGAATTATTTTATTTTAACTTTATTTATTATTATTATCATTATTATTTTCCAGTTTGATCAGAGAGAGACAGAGAGAGAGAGAGGAAGTGAGAAAGCAAGCCACCAGGTCCGAGACTTGAACCGTGGTTGGCCATGTGGGAGTCCAGCGCCTTTAACCACCATGCCACTTGCCGGCCCTGCAGAAAACATCTATTATTAGCAATAATATACCTCCTACTCTGGGGCTCATAATCAGTCTAAAAAACCTAGACTGGCTGACTGGGACTACCTCACCCCCACAATTGCACCCAGAATCCACCCCTTCCTACAATTAGTCATCCTACTGATCTCCCTGTGCCAGAATTTCTTTTTCTTTTTATTTGGAGAGGTTTCCCCTATAGGGCGCATGCACTTGCCAGACAGACAGAGAGAGACATAGAGACAGAAAGCGAGAAATCACCCCCCAGGGGGGATGGCCACGCCACAATCCCTTCTCCTCCATTCTCCTCCTCTCGGGATCTTGGGCACACACGCCCGGTGTGAGTTTTAAGCCACTGGGTCTGGGACTAGAACCGTGGTCGACTACATGGGAGTCCAGCGACATAGCCATTATGCTAACTGCTGGTCCCAGTGTATGAATTTCTTACTGGAGGCTCAGAGGTCTCAGATAAGGGGCCAAGTCTGGAGACTCCTCAAACTGACCGAGGCCAGTTCCATTCCTTGCCTCAAATGATGTAATCAGACTATCCAGCAGGAAACCGTCCGATTTACAACACAGCCCACCTCCCCCAAGCCTGTAATTGTAGGGCTCTCAACCTTGCTGGTGTTTATACACCAAGAAGAGGGCAAAAACGCCTGCATTGACTCATCAACAACCAGACAATGCCAGGGTGCTGGGAAACATTACTTAGGAAAGAGCAAAGGAAACCATGACGACTACATGTGCTCCCCTGCCGGAAAGTGGGTATGTTACACTGGTCTTAGAGAACACGAGCTTCCAGATGGAGGCGCAAGTGCCTTTCAGAGACAAGCTGCCGTCCAAACGCAACACACAAATTAATTCAAAAATTAAGCTAAAATCCCGTTTCCTGAAGAAACCTCGAACTCAACCTGAAAGTCATTTCACTCATTAACGCCACACATGCCCTCCTAACCTGCGCACAGCCCCAGTTAGCATCCAGCTGCTGGCTTTGTATCCAAACGGCTCTTGCCTGCATATATGCCAACCCAGCTCAACCTACTAATGACACCCAATAATTAATCTAACTTCTGTCCGAGAAGGACCGATCTTCCAAATATACTTCGACTCCAAGCCTCAAAACTGCTTCACGGGAACCAGCAGTTAGCGTAATGGCTATGTCGCTGGACTCCCACGTAGTCGACCGCAGTTCGTGTCCCGGACCCGGTGGCTTAAAACTCACGCCGGGCGCGTGTGCGTGCGTGCCCAAGATCCCGAGAGGAGAATGGAGGAGAAGGGATTGCGGCGTGACCATCCCCGCTAGGGGGTGATTTCTTGCTTTCTGTCTCTATGTCTCTCTCTGTCTGTCTGGCGAGCGCACGCGCCCTACAGTGAAAATCTCTCAAAAAAACAAACAAACAAAAAAACTGCTTCACGGGACCAGCAGTTAATGTAATGGCTATGTTGCTGGACTCCCATGTAGTCAACCGTGGTTCAAGTCCCAGACCCGGTGGCTTAAACTCACGTTGGGCAATTGTGCATGTGTGCCCAAGATCCTGAGAGGAAACTGGAGGAGAAGGGATTGCGGCGTGGCCATCCCCCCTGGGGGGTGATTTCTCGCTTTCTGTCTCTCTGTCTCTGTCTGTCTGGTGAGCGCACGCGCTATAGCAAAAACCTCTCCAAAAAAAAAAAAAGAAAAAACTGCTTCACAAGTCGGGGTTCCTTTGAGGTTGGCAGAGTGACCTGCATCAATATACACCCAGCAAATAATACCAAGTTGTGCTCTCAGTTGCTGGAATTCTACTTAGCATGCGAACCATACGCTTACCAATGCCTCCCAGCAAACTGGTCTGGGCCTTGAACTGGGCAATTATTACCCCCAAGTAGATGTCTCAGAGGGAAAAGCAGCGGTCGATGTGCCCCTGGTAGCCCACAGTAGAGTTCGTAGAGCCATACCGTTTCTCTCTCTTGGCTGGACTCAGAATGACCGCCGGAATAGGAGCCAGTGCTGGGGGAGTCGCATCCTCTGCCACTCGTTACCAACAGCTGTCCACTGCCCTAGCACATGGGTTTGACCAAGTAGCAAAAATCGTTGAAACTTTACAAGTCCAGCTAGACTCCCTAGCGGATGTAGTCCTACAAAATCGTAGGAAACTAGATCTTCTCACTGCCCAAAAGGGTGAACTTTGTCTATTCCTGGGGGGAAGAATGCTGCTTCTATGCCAATAAATCAGAAGTAGTCCACGACATGGCCAAACAACTCAAAGATTTAGCCTCTAAACAGAGACAAGCAGCGGCAGACTCTTGGGCAGGTTGGAACGGACTGTGGACACTAATACCACGGTTAATGCCTCTCCTGGGACCCTCGACAGCTGTTCTTTTAGTCCTCTCCTTTGCATCCTGTGTCTTGTTTTCTTAAGGAACATGCATCCATTGTTGCTCAAGTGGCAGTCAGCCAAATGCTCCTGCACCCCAATCTCCCCTTCCTCAAGACCCTCCTAGAGAATGACCCCTAGGCCAACGCCCCCTAATAGCTTGTAGGGTCAGGGGGGAAAATGGAGGGAGGAAAGCCTTATCGGCCCTCTGTATTCCAAGAGCCTTATGTACCCTCTGCATTCTGAGGGGCTCCTGCCTCTGCACTGGAACAGACCTTCCTGCCTGGAGCATTTGGCACTGTCAAAATTGAACAGAAACAGCGACCTTCATTGGCCAGACAAGGACCACCTATAGGACAACGACCCTTTTGAGACTGAGCAGCACCCACCCTGGGTGTGACTCCCTCGGCTTCTCACCAGACCCCGGGACCTCATCTGAGAGCTTGTCATAAAGTAAAAATTTTTCCTGTTTTTTTTTTTTCCAGTACCCAAGTCTGACTCTGGCTTTCTGTCCTTGCCTTCTCCGGTTCTGCAGCTACCTGAAATTCTGGTTCTCACAGGGCCTGGGCAGTAACCACCGTGCCACCTGCTGGCCCTGTTTGATCTTTATGTGGTGATCATGCTGAAGTTTATCCCAATCCTGTCATTCCTGGGGCCAGCCTGTGGCCTCTGGTTAAGGTGGCTGAATCCCAGTTGCTGTGCATGTGGAGAGTCCCACACCCAGTGGCTTCAGAAACACACCAGACCCAACTCCCCAAAAGAGGGAAATGCAGAAAGGCATGGATATTGCCCACGCTGGCCTAGAATTCCTGGACTCAAGTGATCTTCCTGTGTCATCCTCCCCAGAGTCAGGAAATAGAGCCTGGCAGCACCCCTCCCCCCTTCCCTCCACACTATTGGCTGTTAAGAGCTTTAGTTAGATTCCTTAAATTCTGGCCTGTTAAGGCATTGGACTCCACGTGTTTGGAGAGGTTTTTGCTCTAGGGGCACATGTGCTCCCCAGAAAGAGACAGAAAGACAGAAAGGGAGAAATCACCCCCAGGGGGGAATGGCCATGCCTCAATCCGTTCTCCTCCATTCTCCTCTCGGGATCTTGGGCATGCAGGCATGCGACTGGTGTGAGATTAAGCCACCAGGTCCAGGACTCGAACTGTGGTCAGCTACATGGGAGTTCAGCAACATAGCCATTACGCTAACTGCTGGTCCCAGGTGGTATACTCTCAAGGCATTGGACTCCCAAGTGATAAATCAGGACCATCCCTCAGGTGACTTCTTGCTTCTGTGTCTCTTCTGCATCTCTGGAAAGCACACACACCCTGTAACAAAAATCTCTTTTAAAAAAAGAGTAAGTTTCTTAAATTAACATTAATTACATGTTCTTTCTTAGATTCATCTGTTCCCCAAATTGACATCCTTCACATAGGTCTACACAGTGCGTTCTCACTATTTTTTTTAACAAAAATTTAAGAGGTTTTTGCTACAAGGTGCCTGTGCTCCCCAACCAGACAGATAAAAAGCAAGAGTCAAGAATCACCCCACAGGGGGCGGGAGGCGGGCCCTGGGCGCCCCCGCCCCCATGGCTGCGACTGGCGCTGGGACTTGTGCGGGCCCTCCGGGGCTCAGCGCCAAGGCGGCGGCAGGTGTGGCGGCCCCCCCCCTCCGGGGCGGTCGTGTGGCCTCTGGACCAGCAAGCTGAAGCCGAAAACAAGGATTAAGAATTTACAACTATAAGCAACAGAAAGAATCTTTAGCTGTCTTAAACCAATTGAGAAATATACTGTACAGAAGGATTTTCTCTACCTATGGACAGTGAGAAGATGATGGTTGCCAGCCCTGCATTGCCTCAGGGAAGAACAGGAACTACTCTACCATTCTTGAGGAAGCCAGATACCGGAGGATAAGTCATGCTGGAGAGCCCCACAACACCATTCCTTCTAATCACAGGATGGCTGCTGTGCCGCATCAACTGATAATCATCTCTGCTTACCAG